TCTTTATTCAAGATAATATAGAAACAGAAAATAGGGCAATTTAAACATTTTTCTCTCCAGGTTAATTAAAATAATGAAAGCAACTGTTCTCATGTTTTGTTCCTTAATACGAAATGTTTTGACTGTTAATGACACTACAAGCTCTGAACTCCTCTAGCTGAAATAGTTTTCATTTGCCTTTCTTGAATTTGCCTGGCGTAGCACTCGTCTTCTGCTTCTTTTTAGCAGATCCCTTTATTTCAGGCTCCTATAATAAAAAAATTAATAAATACAATTACCTTTCTTTAAACAGATAAACCAATCACTGTTTAATGAAGACATGCACAATTACCATCAAATGAATCATGACTGTATTATTCTTCAGAGTACTTAATTTTCAATATAGTTATACAAGTTAGTTTTAGTAATTACTTCCTCCTACCTTACGCTTAGAGGAAATTGATCCTGTTACAGTAAAGAATGTGTCCAGTCTTCCCTGGGTGCTCCCTTGTCTACTCTTCATGATTTTCTTACAGCCGTTACGGATACGATCCTCACTGGAAACACACAAATTTAACACATATGAAAAACATCCTGCTGCTGTGAGAACCACAAATACAAGAGAACAACTTCCTTTCTATTTGTTCTTTCTCACAGCACAACAGGTTTCCCTCACCTGCTTTCGCCCAAAAAAAAGAAAAAAAAAAAAAAATGCTGGCTTTTAGCTTATATTTATAACCTGCCCACAAATAAACAACTTTCTTGTGCCACTTGTATTGCATGTTCTCTTGAATTTTTTTTAAACGCAGTTGCTTCTTTTGTCTGTGTGTACACAGGTTTAAAATGCACACACTGATAATGGTTAAAAAATACACTTGTTTGCACTGTCCCACATTGGTGCCCTTATTTAAACCCTGTTGTTTGTCTTTTATGGTGGTTTTTGGCAGTATCAGTTGTATGCTTCCCTGCTTTCCCCCAAAAAAAAAAAAAAAAAAAAAAAGATGCTGGCTTTTAGCTTATATTTATAACCTGCCCACAAATAAACGTGCCACATTACAACCTTTGTGTACAAGCCATTTAAGATCCATTTTAATATGGCATCCATCACAAGTTGCTTTAATTATTTAAATATAAAAAATAAATAAATAGTGGTTTGTCCACACATAAGATATATACACACACAAACATTTGTAAACTGATTTGTAAATTAAATTATTTTATTTTAGTCTGACTTTTCTGACATTAGTGGTTTCTAGTTTAAGACTGATTAAGACCAATTAAGATTGATTTAGTTTAAGCAGGTTTTAGAAGCAATCTTTTGGCAGAAACAGGTCTTTGCAGAGATTTGGTTGCTTTGTACCTGAACTGTTTCTCAGCACACATAAACTGAATCAGTGCATCCTCGTCAGGTTCATTCCACTTCAGATCAACAGAGGGGCCATCAATGACCTCAGGCTCCAAGAAGAGACTCCGAGCCTCTTTATATAGCCAGTCCTCTGGAGCTGGGTGCTTCTGCAACAAAAAACAAGAAATTATCACGTTGTAAAGACCATCTAAAAGAGGAGGTAGTGGTTAAAGGCTGCTATAATTATTCGAGCACACAACGTTGTTTAGCCAAGATGCAAAATTAAGTAAGCTGTTTACTGCAATGAGAGAGTTAGGCAGGATTATTTTTTTTTACAAAAAAATAAAATAAAATACAGCTACATATTTAAATTATGCAAGAGACAGTAAAAATTAAGTGCAAAAATAAATATATAATGAAACGAAATTATGGCGGGCAAAAATGTATGGCCAAGAAAATTGTCAATGCACTTGCCATATGGCCAAATTTATTTTCTGACTAAGCAATACACTAACCGCCACTAGAGGGCACAATTATGCAAGTACATTATCTTGGATGTGATCGCAACATTTTGCCAGTAAGTAAATGCCTTTAAAAAGTGTAAATAAACGTACATTTGAGTCAATATTCTCAAGGATCTCTTCAATAGAGCCGTGCTGCTTAATGAGGTCAATGGCCCTCTTGGGTCCAATTCCTTTTATAGTGCCACAGTAGTCACAGCCCAGGAGGATACACAGGTCAATGAACTGAGGAAGTCATTCAAACATCAACCGCAATTAGAAAGAACTGACACTTCTATAATTTATATATTGTAAATATACTTACACATAATATATACAATTATATTTAGATGTACAAAAGATAAGACTGAAATAAAGCTAAGGTCTTACCTGCTGGTGTGTCAGACCCATTTCCAGTAGAATACGACTGAAATGAAATTCTTGGATAGGGAGTTTTCTAGGATGGAACAAAAAAAAACAAACATCCAATTACGTCTGCAAGCCCTCAAATCTCCATGACTATAATATATCCAAATGTCTACATAAACAGATAATTTCAGATATAAAGCCTATCTATACATACTTTGCTTCACTGGCTGTTAGATGCCTCAACAGGACTGTTGTTCCAAATGTCAGACCGTCCATATCTTCTGTCGCTGTGGCATAAACCTTCCCTGATTTCACCAGAGCAGCACAGCTCGCCTCTGCCTCACATGGAGCCTTAACATGCAAGGTATACAATCTTGCTTACATCCATAATAAAAGATAATTCTGTGCAGTTTGCTGTCAGTGACTGTGGCGGTACCTCAACGTAAGGGACTCCCATTAGAGTAAGTAACCTCTTGCATTCCTCATTGTGCTGTTTGGTAACCTTCACTAGTCTCTTACTGAACTTGTCAATGTTCTCCTGTTCACCTGGGAGAAATCTTAGAATTAGGATTCATGTTAAATAATTTTTTTTTTTAAAAAAGCATGTCGTCTTGAAAGTGTCTGTACCTGCTTCTTGTGCCTGAGCTAGAAGTTTCTCAGCCTCTGCTCGTCTCTCGCCTCTCTTCTCCAGCTGTAGGGGTTAAAATAAAAAGATCTCTTAATATAGACAGCAGAAAATGTTTTTACAGAAAAAGACCATCTGTTAGTTAACCAAGTTACTTTACCATACATGTTAAAAATCTTAAATGTTTACACTGCATTATATGCCTCTATACTGTAAATATAAGTAAATGTAACTAATTTACAGAGAAAAACTGTAAAAGGACATTCCCATAAATTCCTGAATGACACTGCATACAATTATATTTTATACAGTCACCATCTGAAGTAAATCAAAAAAAGTTCAAAGTTGTCCTAAAACAAGAACGCATTTTGGTTTTAGGTTGTAGGACAACTTTGATGAAAGGTTTTGATCCACTTCAAATGTTGACTAGTGTAAATAATAGTTTCCTCTTATTATTGTTATCTCTAACGTTCAGTAAGACTTTTGTTTCATTTGTCTTTTAGTTAATGTGTATTGTATTATTTTAGTGTTACTGTCTCACCGGGATATACAAGGTCATGTTTTATGGACAGGCCACTTATGACAAACTCATTCATCATGTGGCTTTCTATAATACTGGTGTTTATAATTACAGTTTAGAGTAAAAAGCAGATTTTGGTAGTTGAAGTAGTTTGGTATATTAACATTACATCAGTAAATAAAATATACGGTTATAAGTTGCAAAGTATACAAGCACCAATATGCCACCCTTCAATATCGGAAACACTGCCTCAATATTTTGACAGTGAATTTTTGGCACAGCTGCATTTTTTTTCTTTTCTTTTTTAGCTGTAAATGCAAAATGACATCCACTTAAGTTGTGATTTAAGGAATGCTGTTTCCAGGTCCGAGTCACTGCTTATTTCAACGGACAATATTCCATTAGAGTGACTGTTTCTGACACACCTCTCCTGACTTCAGCTGAGGTGGCTTCCCATCAAACACATAAACTGGCTTGACGCCACTCTCCAGCATTCGAATGGTCCTGTAGAACATTCCCATGAGGTGGCTGGGGAGACACAGCGGTTGTGCGAATAGTATGACCATGCAAATGTAATCTGGCACATGGTTAGAAAATCAAAGTATACACTTTGAACTCAATTAGCTTGTCACGTTTCCATGCAGACTTGCACAAATGATAGTAGACAACTCTACATACCTAGTGGTCTCTCCATCTTCATTCTGCAACACATTACCGTCCTGTCTAACCGCGATTAAAAACTGGTAGATGCACATGGACGCATCAATAGCAATTTTCCTGCCTGTATGCATGTAAAATACATAAATAAAATGATGCAAACACTCACATATGCTACATTTGAGTTTCCCTGGTACAATCATCCAAGAAAGAATGTTTAAATAATAGGAGGCCTCACCAAAGTAGTTTTTGATGTCTTGCTCCTTGATAGCTGAAGGCGCGTGATCTGCAATGAGCTTTGCAAGTCCATGAATTCCCATTGTGATAAACTATGTAATTATCAGAAATCTGAAAGAATTCAAATCCATAGAAATTAAAGTATTAAATGCAACAAGTAAGTTTTGACACGGTTAATAGTAAATTAGAAAGAAAAAACAAGGAGCAGCTCATACATCAGTGTGAATAGTAAAGAATGAAGAAAACAACAAGCATCCAAAACAAAATTTAAAAACCCTCACGCGTGTTATAAAGCGGTTTACACACTGTAAAACGTAAAAACAAAAGAAAACTTACCAATAAAATGTGTTTCAGCTCCTTGCTTTTCAGTCATAGACACAAGCACAACCGCGCCAGAAATTGTCGTCAATTTCGCGCGAAATCTTATACAGGCATAAATAGTCGAATTCCTGTGGTAGACGATGGAATCGATTTCTCAAAATTGTCTAGTTCAGCCTTCGCAAGGGAGAACAACAGAACGTGCATCTCGATCGATTAGTCAGGACTGGCAAGACATCAATGAGAGCGAAGAAATTTCCCGGTAACGATGATCACCTCTTAAAATGCACGATAAACGTTTTATCTCATTGAAATCACACTTACAGCTGTGGATTAATGATGCAGAGACTTGTCGCAGCAGGAGCAGGTGTAGCGTTGTAGCCCCGCCCACCCCGGAAGATCCCAAGAAGGGTGTTTTTATTTTTTAAGGTGACGTGGATTCGCTGTGCGCCACTGCTGGTCTCGACCTTTCGGCTGTTTCGTGGCCTAAAAGCAAAGATCGGATGTCTTCTAACCCTAGCAATGTCCGGATATGATATTACACATACGGGAGCGCTGTTGACTGGATTTTGAAAAGAAAGAAGCGATTCTGAGGAATCCGAGGAAGCATCTGAAACAGGTCTGTTGCATTTCTCTGATGCGGAAGTATTTCAAGCATCTTAGAAGGCGAAGATGATTTCTAGTGCTTTTAAATCAGAGTGCAGACTGATTGATTTGTATCTCATTTGTTTATGTCTGAAAGATACTAACTATATCTGTTTGGTTAACCTCTCAAAACCGATTTGAATTAAGCTGAAGACGTTGACGAGGTGGTTCTATTTTTTGCACTCAACAAAATCTGATTTCAGTAGCACTTTATTTTACAGTGTACTACTTTCTCTAGTAATGTCGGTTAATTATGCATAATTACAGGCAACTAAACCAAACCCCAACACTATAATAAGTATATGTTGTTAATTTATTTAACTCCGTGCTTATTTATGCAATTACATTGCAAAAAAATCACTCTAATATTAAGTGTAACCCTGATTTAACGCTATGATTTTTGTTTTACATTATTGTTCATTTATTCACTTGTATGTTCTACTTGTAATAATTATGTACTTGTATCAGTGAAGTCTTATATGTACTTGATCTTTTATGTGCTTATGAACTTTTTCGTTTTTTTACAATATTAAAATGTATATAAATAAAATTGTATTTTCGCTTAAAGGGATTGTTATTCTCAAAATTAAATTATGATATTTTTTTACCCACACATTTTCCAACACGTTTGAATTTTATAACTACAATATTTAATCTAGTCATTACATGATTTATGTGAGTAAAAAAAGGCATAATAATATAATTAGCCATTTAAAATAGTGTTAACATATGACAAGTCTTAACATGTAGTATATGCATGATACTTTTCAAGATTCATGTTTACATGAATTCTAAAAATGTAAATGATTACATTTATATAAATGACTAAGAAAGATTCATCCCAAAATGAAATATCATGATTGTGTTTTTGTTAATATTTCATGTAGTCTCTAAATTCAGTCAAGTAAAAATAATAGAAGTCATTAAAATAGTTCTAAATGGAGTCTAGCATGTCAGACTGCAGGGCTTGTCATCCACTTAAAGTAACTTTGTGAATGTTTTTTGTTGTTTGCATAGATGCTTACCCCTTTTACATTCTTGATTTGCCCACTGACAGGTGTTGTCATGACAGCAAGACTGGAATTTTCAGGCCCGTGTGTCGCTGGTCGATCCATGAGGCTCTGTGTGCTGGTCCTGTGCTTGCTGCCTCACTTTGGCTGGGCACTCAGTTACAAGCAAGGCGATCCGGTGATCCTGTACGTTAACAAAGTTGGTCCATATCATAACCCCCAGGAAACCTACCACTATTACACCCTGCCAGTCTGTAGACCTAAAGAGGTGAGTGTGCACTGCACTATTCAGTGTTGTCTGGATCTTTTAGTGTGCTTGCTTTATGACCCTATGGTGCAATACAAATTGTTATGATTAACTATTAGATTGACATGTTTGCAGGTCCGTCATAAAGCCTTGAGTCTGGGAGAGGTGTTGGATGGAGACCGCATGGCTGAATCACTTTACAACATCCACTTCAAGGAAAACACTGAGAGACAGACGCTATGCAAGCTCACTCTCTCCGAGAAAGAGGTAGCAATGCAATCCTATTTGCAACAATTTGCAAAATGCGACCTTGTTTCATCAAAGATGTTTGGGATTTGATTTTGCTCATGTGTACGTTATAGTCTGTTTATTTGTGCAGCTGGAATGGGAAATGATGAGAAAAATGAACTGTTTGCATTTATGGCAGGGATTCTCCATCCTGCTCCAGCTCTAACCAAACATGGTTGAACCAGCTAGTCAAGGTTTTCAGGTTCATTTGAGAATGATAGTAAACGGTGTGTTAAAGGGTTGGATCTAAACCCTGTAGGAAGCCAGATCTCCTCGGGCAGGATTTAGCACATTTTCATGTCGTGAAAGAGGAAACGGCAGAGACTTAGGGGAATGGAATTCTTTCAGATGTCTCTTTTTTTGAAACTACAGGTGGATCAGTTGCGAGAGGCAATCGAGGAGCTGTATTACTTCGAGTTTGTCCTAGATGACATTCCCATCTGGGGTTTCGTGGGATACATGGAAGAGAGTGGATTCCTGCCTCACAGCCACAAGGTCTTTTTCTATGTTTCTGTCAGTCTCACAAAAAGTGCTTGGCACAAATATAAATGTATGTAATTCATTACATTAGAGAAGAATATTTACATTTAGTCATTTAGCAGACGCTTTTATCCAAAGCGACTTACAAATGAGGACAATTGAATCAATCAAAACCAACAAAAGAGCAACAATAGTGCTGTGACAAGTCACGGTTAGTCAATATATCAAAACAAGTGGTGTTTTACTAAAAACGTTGTTAGTTTTAAAATATTACTACTGTTCAAAAGTTTGGTGTCAGTAAGATTTTTTTCATTTTGAAAGAAATTATAACTTTTATTCAGCAAGGATGCATTAAATTGATGAAAAGTGTCAGTAAAGGCATTAATAATGTTACAAAAATGCTCAATATCAAATAAATTCTGCTCTTTTGAAATTTCTGTTCATTAAAGAATCATTATGAAAAATGTATCACCGTTTCCACAGACATATTAAGCAGCACAGCTGTTTTCAATATTGATAATAATAAATGTTTTCTCAAGCAGCAAATCAGCTTATCAGAATGATTTCTGAAGGATCATGTGACACTGAAGACTGGAGTAATGGCTGATGAAAATTCAGCTTTGCATTACAGGAATAAACATTTCAAGTAAAAATAAATTAAAATAGAAAGCAGTTATTATAAATTGTAATAATATTTCACAATATTACTGTTTTACTGTATATTAGAGTTTATAAAATATTAAATATGTACATTAATTGTCCAATAACTTTTTGGGGCTGCTGTGTACTGTTTTGATATTTGCTAATTTATTGAATAAAGCATCCTGATTCTTGAAACTTTTATTAGGTTTCTTTGTACTATTAATTATTTATTAGAATTATTATTTCTTATTTTCTTATTTTATATAGTTTTTATTATTTTTATTTCAGTTTTAGAGTTCGTTATTTTAGTACATCAAGTTAAACTAAATGAAAATGAAAAATATTTCCTTGGGAACTAGCTAAATTGCGCTAAGTTTTCAGGGTTTTTTAATATTTTATTTTATTTTATTTTATTTCAAGTAACAAAAAATGTTTTTTTATGGTTTTAGTTTTAGTTAACTATAATAACCCTGATTTATTCACTTTTTTTTGTACAACAGGTGGGGTTGTGGACACACTTGGACTTCAATATAGAGTACAACGGCGACTCTGTGATCTTCGCCAATGTGTCTGTGAAAGACGTGAAGCCGGAGCCATTAGAGGAAGGCGGGGGAGGGGCAGGCCATGGTGTCAGCAGTGGTGGTCTGACGGTCACTCACACCTACAGCGTGCGCTGGTTTGAGAGTACTTTGCCCCATTCACGCAGGGCGGAGCGCCTTAGAGACTATTCCTTCTTTCCTAAGACTCTGGAGATCCACTGGCTGTCCATCATCAACTCACTAGTGCTGGTGGTGCTGCTGCTGGGCTTCGTCATCATCATCCTCATGAGGGTGCTGAAGAATGACTTCGCCAGGTGAGGGTGTATCTGACGTCACGTTTTTGATAGTAATTTAGTTTCCAAACAGATCACTTGAACACATGGGTATTTACAATTTGTTATTTTGCTTGGCAGCCATAAACTGCGTACAGTTAAAGGAACACGCCACTATTTTTGAAAATAGGCTCATTTTCCAAATGAAATTACTCAGCGCCTGAAAATAGGCTAACTTCTGTCAACATAACCAACGTGACCACCTGCTTGCACAGGGAGCGTGCTGGGGACTATTTTCAGGTGCTGCGTAATATCATTGCGCCTGCTGCACCCGGAATGAGAGTATAGTTCCTAGCCATATCAGTCTAGAAAATCGCAACTTTTCATTTTCCGTCGGTCTTAGTACACGATGTAACTACAGAAGAGTCCAGTTTTAAATAGGAAAAATATAGAAACTCTTTGGTCTTTTTTGAGCGAGATGCTAACGGTCTAATCAGATTCAATGATCTATGCTAAGCTACAGCTAAAAGTGCTCCCGCCAGCCCCGGAGATCGGCTGAATAGATTCGAAAACGGTAAAACTCAACTGTTTAACTCAAGGGGAGTTGGAAAATGAGCCTATTTTCAAAAATAGTGGAGTGTTCCTTTCAGGCCGTTCACACCAAATGCAATAACTATAATGATAACAATACATTTTTAATTAATGTTGTAATATGAGAATAGGGATGTCCACATCACAGCTGTAATGATAATGATGAAATAGGAATCACTTTCAGAACAGTTGTCCAGCTGGTGAACAATAAAAACATTGGCAGATAAACAGGATCTACTCAGCACACAGCTGCTTGTTTGTGTGGGTGGGTGCTAATATACTTATTGTTATATTTATCTTTATAGTTATTGTTCTTTGTGGGTATGGGCCTTTAGACTAGTTAACTCTTTTGGCAAAATAATCATTTATTGCGATTTATTAATATTAATAAATGTAATTAATTATTATTGAACATTTGTATCTTTTATCATATTGCTGTCATCGTCATTTTATAAAAGTTTCAATTAAGAATCCGTTAAAAGTGGAACTGATGGCTGATCATGTACTCTATTTGTTTACATTGTGAATACAAATTGCGCTTAATTAAACTAATTTATATTGAGTCACTTCTTACTTAAATGTTACATGTATATTACACATTCAATTAGCAGCACATTAGATGCACCAGGGAGCTCACGTTGAAGTGTTTCTGTTGTTCCCTGAGCAACATGTGCACACAAACAAATTCCCAGGAGATTGCGACTCCATCTAATGAGGTTGAGTTAAGTCTTGAGTGTGTTGAATTACATTTGAGTAAATTCTCAAGCAGTTTCTCTAGAACACCACCATTCAAAAGTTGGATTTTTAAAATTATTTTTGAAAGAAGTCTCTTATGCTCACAATGGCTGCATTTATTTGATTACAAATACAGTGAACAGTAATTTTGTGAAATATTATTCTAATTTAAAATAACTTTACTATTTGAAGATTCTTACAGTGTAATTTCTACAGTATTTGTGATGGAAAAGCTCAATTTTTAGCAGCCATTATTCCAGTCACCAGTGTCATATATCATATGACATGTCATGTTATATGATTTTCGGAAATCATTCTAATATGATGATTTGGTGGTCAAGAAACATTTCCTTGTCTACTTATTTATATTGTTATATTATTATCATCAAAAGTATTAATTTCTTTTTGAAAAATCTTACTGACCCCAAACTTTTGAACTGTTGTGTAACTGTTGCCTTTAATTGTTTCTATGTTAATTTATTATCATAGTAAGTCAGGAGAAAGCAATGAAATAGACAGTATTTTATATTTATTTTTTTTACAATAAATTATCCATATAGGGGAAGAGGAGGGATCAGCACCTATTACCCAGAGATCATTAATGAACAACGGTCTGATTAAACACTGTCACTATATGTGTGTACAGGTATAATGTGGAGGAAGATGGCGGCTGTGACGACCTGGATCAGGGGGATAACGGATGGAAAATCATCCACACGGATGTCTTTCGCTTCCCACTGTATAAGAGCCTCTTGTGTGCCGTACTAGGGGTCGGGGCGCAGTTTCTGACTCTGGCCACTGGTATGACACACTACATTATAGAAATATAAAACACCTTTTGACATGTAAGAGGTCATAAAAACATCCTGTAAGTTTTAGAAGTCAAAACTCTCTCATTAGTTGTTAGTTGATATGTACTGAGTATTTATGCATTTATTCATCAGCGTCCATCTGTGAAGGATGTAGGCTGTCAAACATTCACAACTGTTAGCCAATCATAGCGTTTACTTCCGAGTCTACAATCCGCCACGCCTATTCAAACAGAGCGTTCAGAAAAGGGGGCCAAAACAGGACAGAAAATAGCCTATTCTAAATTATTGTGTTTTTTTTTTTTCAACTTTATAAGCGGACCTCAGAGATCAGTACAAAATAATAAAAAAGGACATTCATGACCACTTTAATAATAAAATAATATTTTATGTTTTATTTTATGTTGTTTTCTCTGTCACTACTTTTCTGTTATTTGTGACCCTGGACCACAAAACCAGTCATAAGGGTCAATTTTTTGAAATTGAGATTTCTACATCATCTGAAATCTGAATAAATAAGCTTTCCATTGATGTATGGTTTGTTAGGATAGGACGATATTTGGCCGAGAGACAACTATTTGAAAATCTGGAATCTGAGGGTGCAAAAAAAGGTGTCCAAATGAAGTCCTTAGCAACGCATATTACTAATCAAAAATTAAGTTTTGATATATGTACGGTAGGAAATTTACAAAATATCTTCATAGAACATGATCTTTACTTAATATCCTAATGATTCTTGGCATAAAAGAAAAATCAATAATTTTGACCCATACAATATATTGTTGGCTATTGCTACTTAAGACTGGTTTTGTGGTCCATGGTCACATTTGTTTAGATGATTTTGCAATATTTTGTCTAAAAAAATTGTAGTGCTTAAATATTTGAACTGAGTGGGGGAAGCAGTTGAGAATTGGGATGAAAATGAGAAGAGAGTTGCAGATAGGAAGAATATGACCTTCAGGTAACACACTAATTTCTGGATCCTCTTTCCTGGTTTCTTTAGGAATCATTGTCATGGCTCTGCTGGGGATGTTTAATGTCCATCGTCATGGTGCCATAAACTCGGCAGCGATTGTATTGTACGCTCTGACCAGCTGTGTGTCCGGTTACTGTTCCTGCAGCTTCTACACACAGATTCAGGGCCAGCGCTGGGTCTGGAATATTATCCTCACCTCTGCGCTCTTCTCTGGTGAGACACAACACTCTTCTGCATCTGCTACTCACAGTGCAATGTGCTGCTCAGTATGATTTTTTTCATTTCCGGTGTATTTTAATTTTAAAGGTTAATCTCTTACCTGACTCATTGTACATACTGTACAGCATGCTAGTATTGTATTCCAAATATAGCCGGTCATAATTACAATGCTTTCATAAGCAGAAGTAACTGACATTTCGCCCACTAACTGCTGCTCTCTTTGTTTTTCTCGTTTCTATCTCTCTCTCTGATGCGTTTAGCCCCTCTCTTTTTCACCTGGAGTGTGGTGAACTCTGTTCACTGGTGGAGTGGATCGACTCAGGCCCTGCCTGCCACCACCGTGCTTCTGCTGCTTGGTGCCTGGGTGCTGGTGGGTTTCCCTCTCACCGTTATTGGTGGAATTGTTGGAAAGAACAGAGCAGGCAACTTCCAGGCCCCGTGTCGCACACGTAACATAGCTCGCCAGATCCCCCAGCAGCCCTGGTACAAACACACGGCCGTGCACATGGCCATCGGAGGCTTCCTGCCTTTCAGGTAAGAGCTGTGAATCTCTGCAGAAGGTTTCCAGACAATGGAATCTTTTCTTTAAAGGGGTGGTTGATTGTGATTTCTTTCTTTTAAAGTTAGTTAGAGGAACTAACTGTTTATGTTGCCGTTTGAGCATAAACAATATCTGCAAAGTTACGACGCTGAAAGTTCAATGCAAACGGAGATATCGTCTTTTAAAATTCTGGCAGTTTAGTGCCTACAAAAACAGCTCGTAGGGACTACAACGAGTTACTTCCTGGGTTTGTGACATCACAAATCCAGACATTTACATAAACCCCGCCCCCGGGAACATGCAATGAAGGGGGCAAGTGCTGTTTTTTTAGAGAAGAGGAAGAGTTGTTGCCATGCCGTCAAAGCTAGGGATGCACGGAAAAAATCTATTCATATGAATTGCGATTCTGTCTTCTAACGATTCTAATGGATTCACAAGTTTCAAAATTAATGTTCTAAAGCAGCGGTTCTTAAACCTGTTCCTCGCACCCCCTGCTCTGCATCTCTTTCTGCCTCTCTCTCTCTCTCTCTCTCTAAAACCAATTATACACTTTGTGTATGGACAGACAGATATTTTTCACAAAGCTACGAGAAGCGTTAAACAGCGTGCTGTATTAAAGCTTTAATCAGGATAAAACCATATATATTGAAAGCTAACATAAGCAGTAGCATTTACAAATAACAGCATATCTAAAAGTATGAGACAACAACAAACAACAAACATACCATTAAGAGCCGTGTGCTTGCACAGGTTCTGCACGATCCTCTTCCTGGGTTTGTGACATCACAAATCCAGACATTTACATAAACCCCGCCCCCGGGAACATGCAATGAAGGGGGCAAGTGCTGTTTTTTTAGAGAAGAGGAAGAGTTGTTGCCATGCCGTCAAAGCTAGGGATGCACGGAAAAAATCTATTCATATGAATTGCGATTCTGTCTTCTAACGATTCTAATGGATTCACAAGTTTCAAAATTAATGTTCTAAAGCAGCGGTTCTTAAACCTGTTCCTCGCACCCCCTGCTCTGCATCTCTTTCTGCCTCTCTCTCTCTCTCTCTCTCTAAAACCAATTATACACTTTGTGTATGGACAGACAGATATTTTTCACAAAGCTACGAGAAGCGTTAAACAGCGTGCTGTATTAAAGCTTTAATCAGGATAAAACCATATATATTGAAAGCTAACATAAGCAGTAGCATTTACAAATAACAGCATATCTAAAAGTATGAGACAACAACAAACAACAGACATACCATTAAGAGCCGTGTGCTTGCACAGGTTCTGCACGATCCTCTTCACAAATATTCTCTGCGTATCAATCGGGCTCAAATTGATAAGCAATATTGATGACGCCATTGTTTACAATACAACTGGAGGGCAACCTGAGGTGAGGACGGGACGTTTAGGCGTGCACTAGAGGTGGTTTAGCCAATCACAACACACTGAGCCAGCTAACCAATCTGAGTCGATTGCGTATCTCTGAGGGAGGGGCTTCATAAAAACAGGAACTCATCAGAGCGTTCAAAGGAGAAGGGACAGAGCGGTGTAGAATAAAGGTAAATTATGTGATGATGCATTTTTTTAAAAAGCGAAGCATTAACACATGTTAGACTGCACCCCATAAACACAATCAAGCCAAGAAAAAAACAGTCAACCACCCCTTTAATAATTCGGTCCAAAAAAATCTGCCAAATAAATCTCTCTTAATGTGTGCGTGTGTGTGTGTGCACTTGTACAGCTATCTTTGTGAGGGCTGGTTTGAGTTTTAGACCGTCGGAGTGAGGACAAATTTGTAAAGTGAGGACATTTTGGCCAGTCCTCACTCTCTGAGACCCCTTTAAAGGCCTGTTTGAGGGTCAAGACTTCGTTTTAGGGGTCCGGTTATAATTAGGTAAAGGTTAGGTTTAGGGTAAGGGTTTGGGTGAGGCACTTCTGATGGGTAGGTTAAGGGTTAGAAGCTAGAGATTGCATTGTGTCAATGTATGTCCTCACAAAGATAGCTATACAGAGTTTTATATATATGTACACACACACACACACACACATATATATATAATAGAATATTCATATATAATACATATTTTTAACAAATATTTTTTAAAACGTATGTATTATATATTAAATATTATGTTAATATTAATATATTGTATAATTAATAAAATAATTATATATTGTACGTTTTTTAAAACATGCAAGTAAAAATATAATAATATTTCAAATTTTTCATATATAATTCTATATTTAATATAAATAATAAATATTTCAACATATTACATGAGAAAACATTTTTGTACAAATTGTGCGAGACTTACAATAATATAATATGTTGATAAATGTGTGAGTGTATTATATTATATTAGTCCCACACAGCATGCCTCTGTTGTATGCTGTTATATATAATATAATGTTTAAAAATATTTTTATAAATAATAGAATACAGTCAAACCAAAATTTATTCAGACACCTTCAACATTTTTCACATTATCACAGTTTCTTCGCTATAGTTTAGAAAATAGTAATAAAATATGACAAGAACTGAGTTAAACCGTGTCAGAACAAATTCATCTTGATAATGTCAGATAACTTTGATAGAAAGGTATGTAATGGATTACAATCAACCAAAAATTATTCAGCTGTTAAATTTAAGAACACAATTAAAAAATACCAATTTAGGTCAACCAATTACCAAGCAATGCTTAATTTAGTTCAGTCTGTGGTGTAAAAAGGTCGTATTAGCAATTAAAGAAGAAAAACACTTAAGCAAAATATGGTCAGGTCAAAGTGTCTGAATAATTTTCAATCCCAAATTTTTTTATCAATTTTACTGGTAGTCCACTGTATGAAGAATTTTTTGGTATAATATGTCACAGTTTACTTTATTTTGATATCCACTTACATAAATATGAACTATAGTGTCCTGCACCCACTAGTAAAATAAAAAATTTTTTTATCTTGTCTGAATAATTTTTGGTTTGACTATATATAAAAATAAATACATTTTAAGATAAGTTTTATTAATTTTTTTATATTATATTACTCACTCTTCCTTTCACATACATTTTTTCTGCTCGACTTTGCAGTGCCATCTCAGTAGAACTGTACTACATCTTTGCCACCGCGTGGGGTCGTGAACACTACACACTCTACGGCATTCTGTTGTGCGTCTTTGCCATCCTGCTCTCGGTGGGCGCCTGCATCTCTGTGGCCCTCACCTACTTCCTGCTCTCAGGCGAGGACTACCGCTGGTGGTGGAGAAGTGTTCTGAGCACCGGCTCCACTGGCATCTTTATATTTGTTTACTCACTCTTCTACTACCACAATCGCTCCAACATGAGCGGCCTTGTACAGAGCGTCGAATTCTTCGGATATTCCTTGCTCACTGCGTTTGTTTTCTCGCTCATGCTGGGAACGGTCTCCTTCTGGGCTTCTCTGGCTTTTATTCGTTACATCTACCGTAGCCTTAAGATGGACTGAGTTTGTTTCCTCTCAAGTTTCCTCACATGGGGAAGAGACTCGTGGACCAGGTCCTCATGGAGCCCTGCATGAGCAGGTTTTGTGTTGCTGAAGTATATTAAACTATCAAAACTGTTGATGCCAATCTTAAAAGGAATAGGGAACAGACAATGTGACTGACTAAAGACTAATTTAATATTTTATTTTGCTCACCAACACCCTGATACTTAATTCACATAGATATATATATAGTTGCTAGATTATATGCACATCAAATACAGACGTATTTGAGAGTCATTTTGGATCGTTTGTGCTGAATGGAACAGATTTTCATACTTCAAATGTTGCTTACCAAGTATCCAAGACTTGAAAGTTTTGTTTTGGATTTTGTTTATGTAGTGAATATGACTAAAATGATTCAATGTCAGTTTCAAAACATAAGGGGAACGAATCAGAGGCCTTCATGCTTATCTATGTTTCATAAGACCATTGAGGAGATGAAGCACTTATATGTACTGTAGGTGGGTTTACTTGATGATTAAAGGTGGATGTTGGTTATATGGAAGGATATTATAATCTTTGAGGTAAAGAGATGTGTCATATTGTTTTCAGAGGGTGCAGTATACACATTTTGACCAAAAGAGTCGTTTTGGAAGGAAGGTTTAACACGAGCAAGCTGAAGAAATGAAGAATTGATTATGGAAGCAATACCATGCTCTAAAGTCGCCATCAACTGTGATCTGTTGCAATGTAAATATACTGTTTTCAGTAAAGTCACTTTTATTACGGTAAGAGAAATAAATGTGGGTAAAATGCAACAATGGTCTATTGAAAATAATACGTGTAAATTGATTTCAAGCTCACTCTCAGAAATGACTTGCCCCTTTGACGTACGTTCTTACATACTTTTGTTAAAAAGTTTAATGTTTTTGAAAGAAGTCTCTTTAACCAAGGCTCTATTTATTTGATCAAAAATACAGTAGAAAGTAACAAGTACCCACTATGATGTCAATATAACATTGAGCAATATAACCGATCACAGACATATGTTTAATTTCTTGAACGCAATGGCCAGTCAGAGGCATTTAAGTTAGTATCCACTCAACAATCGAAACACCAGAGATTTTTTATTACTGAGTTTTGTACGCTCATGAATCCTCTCATTAATTGTAACAGTGTAGTCACGATGTACAGAAGAAATTCAACATGTAGTGTAGACAACTTCGTTGTCAGATTGCCATGAATTAAAGTGTCAGTCAGCTTTTTAGTCATTATGAATGGAGCACTCTTTGCAAGCATTCTTGGCTATATATAATCAAAGAATTTCAAAAAGTTTTGTTCTTCATGCTGCTAAGAGGGCCAACGGCCACATACACGTTGCAATGTTTTGAGAGTGACATCCGCTAATTGTGGGATTCACCCCCAAAATTGCAATCTATGGAACAAAAATATCCCTGCGTTCCATTCGGAAAGGCTCATCCCTATGCCTTAATCCATTCAAAGGGTTTACCCTCCGGAGTGACAGCTTTGAAGGGTGTAGGGGTCCAAACTGTTCCTTGAAGTGCCCTTCTGCATCATCATGGAGGCGCCATCATCCTGGAAAGAATCAGTGCAAAGAATCATTGGGGGCCAAAATGTCCAACAGTTGTACCGTTCGAAATCCTTGATTCCGAAGGCCCCTTTGAAGTGGCCAGTTTTAAGCACTTTGGTTTGGACCCCACCCATGTAAACAAATTGGACACAATCCCAAAAAATAAAAATACACTGCAAATAATTTACTTCCCAAAAATATTTTCCATCATATGTAGTTCTTATCTCGGTGTTGCACGTTAAAGTGTTTGTTTTTCCTAAGTTGCTTTTAGTTAGTTATTTGATACTATAAAAACGCGGTGTGGGTGCTTGCAATTGAGTCAGTGGGAGTTTGGGTGGGATTTTGATACCGCAGGTCCAGCTCATGATCAGTACTGCACAGACTCTGACTCCAAATTACCTCATCGGCACAAAATGACAGTGGCCATATCTGGGATATTTTAGCTTCACTTTTCTATAACGAAATGAATTGAAGACGTGTTGCCATCTTCAGTCTGTGTGTCAAACTAGATTAAGGCTAGAGCACCTCACTAACTTCAAAAGCAACTTCTGTTTTGATTCTGGAACCGGGCCTGCAAATGCCATAGAATTCACTATAGAACAAAAATTAAATGTTTAGTTTTAAATGTGGTAAATCTAAATTAACACAAAGAAAAGAAAAACCGTTATGAATAGCATACTATAAATTAGCGGGCCATCACGGGCTTGCATGTAGCTAGCAGGGCTGGGGAACTCATAGTGCGTCACAGCTGGGGGCACAGGCCAGTTTCCCGGGGGTCTTGCGGTGGCCTGGGTAGGAGAGCGTGGCTGTGGGTAGCTGGAGTAGAAGGGCGTTTGTGGAGGAGGACTCTTGAACACAGGCTCTCTCACCTGAGGGTTACTGTAGGGGTCTTGGGTTGCTCGAGGGATTTCAGTCTGAAACTAAGAGATGGGGTGTTAGAATATGCTTTTAAAAATTTATTATTATTTTTTTTTTATATAAACGCACACACACCACAACCAAACATGGGTCATTTGTATCATCATGCCTTTAAGACATTAACCAAACTACTGAAATGCCTCCTTTGTCGATGATAACTTGCTCTATGTCCACATTGATCAGTTCTGCTACCATCAAAACAGAACAAGCAACAACGTAGACATTTAAAACCAGTATGACTTGTGCTACAAAAATTGCAATTGGGGGGGGGTTAAAATTAGTTCAATTTATTTTAATCGCTACTTAACAATTACGGTTCATTAACCGGAATAGAAATATTCATGGTTTACCTGAAAAAAATAAAAATAAACATGTTACACACATATGCCAAGTTAAATGCATAAACAAAAATGGAAGCTTAGAGGTCAAGCTTAAAATATTAAAATATTATTATTTTTTAAATTTTACACAGTAGTATTAATATTTAGTCTAAATTTTGACTAATTTATCCCAGTGATGGCATAGCTGAATTTAGCAGTCTTTAGTGTCACATGATCCTTAATCATTTTAATATGCTGATTTGGTGTTCAAACATATCAATGTTGAAAAAGCAATCTATATTAAATAAGCACAATTAATGCATTTATTTTTAATTCATTAACAATAAATAAACTCAAATATGCAGCATTACAGGTTTACCATATTTGAAGCACTTTTATTGTAATCATGACTTGTGAAAAGCCCAAATTAAGTAGATCAATTAAAATTTCACAAACTAGAGGTCTACACGGAGGACCCGAGACCCGACCCGGGATCTGAGTCTGGCAGAACATAACTACCCAGTGGCTGCGCTTCAACAAGCTTATCGCCATCTGAGAGATCTTCCTCTTCCCCCGTTGACAGAGTCAAACCACTACTTCTCATTGGTTCTGGCATGCCGCACCTCTTAATGCCGATACAGCCTGTATGCCGAGGCCCAGACAGAGGTCCAATAGCCATCAGAACACAGCTGGGATGGTCTCTTTAAGGTCCCATGTAGAGGTCAACACGGAGGACCCGAGACCCAAGGTCCGGGTCGGGTCCCAATCTATTACTTCGGGTCCCAGGTCTGTTTAACATTGTGTGTAATACCAGAGTCGATCAGACTCGGAGAACACCCGGCCGTTATCAGAGTCAGTCAGCGCTGTGCGCGTGTCGTTTTGTAACTTTCAACTTGTAAAATTCGGATGAGAAAAGTGCGAGTCAGTAATTTGAAATAAGGTGGGGGAAAAAAAAAAAAACCACG